CACCACAGCCTGCCAGCATGTTGGCTACCCTGCCCAGCTTTTCTTTTATTTCAGAAAGAAATGGAGAGGGAGAGAGAGAGAGAAACACCAGTGATGAGAGGGTCATTGATCGGCTTGCCTTCTGCACGCCCCACACTGGGGATCGAGCCCACAACCAGGAATCGAACTGGTGGCCTCTTGGTTCCTGGGTCGACGCTCAACCACTGAGCCACGCCCAGAGGGGCTGGACGTTTCTTTTTAAGAGGCCACTGTGTTGCCTTGTAAGGGGGGGTCGAGGGACAGCCACCAGGATGGAAGGGGAGAGGCCAGTTAGGGGGCTGGAGGGGCAGGAGAGGACGGGGCCTGCCCTGGGCTGGAGGCAGAAGGGTGGCAGGGGCCTGCGTGGGGGTAAACGAGGGAGCACCTCCCCGGAGGACACGCAGGCTGGAGGCTGGGGGAGGCCTGGAGAGGGGGTGGTGAGAGGAAGTGGGCAGAGGGCCCGAGGGAACGCCTGGTGCTGGTCACCCACAGGGAAGTACGCGGCCCTGGATGCGGACGCCATCCACTCGCTGCTGGGTCTGCTGGTCTCGTCCTTGCAGAAGGCCCGCCTGAACGCCATCAAGGCCCTCACCATGCTGGCGGAGGCCCCCGAGGGCCGCAAGGTCCTGAAGGCCCACGTGCACGCCTTCCGAGTCCTGGAAGTGGGGGACCCCAGCAAGACTGTGCAGCGGGCAGCCCAGGTGGCCATCAAGGTCATTGAGTGGAAGCCCTGAGCCTCTCCTACGGCCAGACCCGAATAAACGGGCCCAATAGCTTTCTCTCGGGTCTGCGTCACTTGATGTTCATGAAGCCTGGTCACACCTACCCCCCCCCCCTCCTGCCAAAGAGGACATGCCTGGCCCAGGCCCAGAGGGCCAGGTCACAGGTGGCAGAGGGCAGGACTGAGCCTTCCAGGGACAACACATGAGGGAAGGGAGTTGGGGTGGGGGAGAAACACAGCTGGACACCAGGCATTACCCCAGCTTTGGACACCGACTGACCAGGCCCACGGGTGTGGCTGGGCACGGCCCTGCTCAGCCAGGTCTGCCCCCTCCCCACACTGGTAGCAGGAAGGTCAAAGGTGTCACCCCAGCCCTGGCCAGGAGCCTCGGCCCTCGCACGGAAGGGTCCCGGGTTCGATTCCGGTCAAGGGCTGCACCTCGGTTGCAGGTTCCGGGCCCTGGTTGGGGTGTGTGCAGGAGGCGACCAATTGATGTGTCTCTCACATTGATGTTTCTCTCTGTCTCTCCCTCTCCCTTCAATTCCCTCTAAAAATCAATGGAAAAATATCCTCGGATGAGGATTAACCAAAAAAAAAAAAAAGGTGTCACCGGGTGTGCGCTCTGGCTGGGGGGTGCGCTGTCCGCGGCCCTCCCAGGGATGAGCCTCGGGCGATGCTCCTTAAGCCCTTCCTCCCAAACAGCCGCATTCTCCTCTCCTGTAGGAGGTCCTCCTGGCACCCCCTACCCAGCCTCCCTGCTGTCGGCCTGGCCCAGGTCTGGTTTGCTTCTCCCCCAGAGAGAAATTGGCTGAGGCGGCGGCAGAGCTGGGGGGAGGGGAGAGGTTAGGTCTGCAGGGGGACCCCGTAATCTCCCCCCCCCCGCACCCCGTGGCTGCCTGGTTCGGCGGGGTGGCTGGTCTCCAGCCAGCTCTGACCTCTGCTGAAGCTGCAGGCGCGGGCTTAGCTCAGGGCTGGACTCATTCGTCTGGGCTGAGCTGGAGCCTTCATTTCCCCCGGGAGCTTTGGGAGGCTCCCTGCCTCCACCAGGGTCTCCCTCATGCTGTCCCCTCCCAGCAGCCACGGTTCTGGTGGGACAGGACCCCCTGGCTCCTGGCATGCCCACTCCTCCCAGTCACACCAGCCGAGCCGGCACGCCCAGTGAGCGCACCCTGGCTGTCCAAGAAGAAACACAGAGAAGCCTGTGTCCCTGGAATGAGAGGATTAGCCTAAATAGGTCCGAGAGGGCACATTTGTGTGCTTTAAAAAAAAAAAGTTATTGATTTCTGAGAGGAAGGGAGAGGGAGAGAGAGAGAGAGAGAGAAACATCCATGATGAGAGAGAACCATGGATCGGCTGCCTCCTGCACACCCGCCCTGGGGATGGAGCCTGCAACCCGGGCCTGTGCCCTGACTGGGAATCTGTGACCTCCTGCTTCTTAGGTCCACCCCGGCCGGGCAGGGACTGGCTGCTGGGCCCAGCTGGGTCCGGGGAAACCTCATTCTCAGAAAAAAGCCCCACGAGGGGAAACCGCTTCTTTAGGAAAATAGGGGTGCCAGGGGCGCCCATTCCTCATGTCCCCACCTCGCCTCAACCGCAGCGGCTGCTCCACCCCCACGGCCTCCCGGCTGCCAGGACCCGTGCTCCTGGGGACGGACAGGTGCCATGGCCCAGCCGTGGACGCTGCCTCCCGTGGAGCTGCCCCTCCTGAGGCTCGGGCTCTGCCCCGGTGGATCCTTTGGGAACCAGGGTTTCGGTGCTTCTTCTAGGCCCGCTCTTCTCCCTCGACCCCGCACAGGCTCACCTGCCGGACCCGGGCCTCCTCTCCGAGGGTCCCTGCTTGGCTAGGCCTGCTCGCTGCCTTCCCCAGGCTGTCCCCGCTGTCACCCAGCTCACGGGCCTCCTCCTCTGGTCCTGGGAGGCCTTCGCTGACCCGAGGTGAGGTGGGCGCCCAGGGAGCACTCCTGAGCGTACAGCGCGCGGAGGGCCAGCGAAGGCCGGGGTGTCGGCAGAGCTGCTTCCGGCCTCACCCCGCTCCCTACATACGAGGGTCCCTTGCTGAGCCTCGGGCTCCTCCTCTGATATGTGGCTGATTCTCGTTTTTCCACAGGGTGCTTCTGTGGCTTGTGTCCTGCTCTCACCCCCGGCGGAGCAGCAGGCCACGCGAAGCGCTGGCAGTTGTTTCGGCGGGAGGGGCCTGGCCTGCAGGCCTTCTGTGATCCCAGGTCCACTGGTCTTTCCCCCCAGGCCACGTGCTCTGCTCACAGCTGTTTTCCTGCAGCATCCGGCATAGTGTAGGTACTCAAAAATGGCAGCTGAAGAATTAAATGAGGGCTCAGTGGATAGAGCATCGGCCTACAGATGGAAGGGTCCTGGGTTCGATTCTGGTCAAGGGCACAGGCTCGGGTTGTGGGCTCGATCCCCAGTAGGGGGCGTGCAGGAGGCAGCGACCCATGATTCTGTCATCCTTGATGTTTCTCTCTCTCCCTTCCTCTCTGAAATCAATAAAAATATATTTTAAAAATAAGATTGAGGCTGGGGGCGAGGAGCTGGCCGTGCCAGTGCACCCTCAGGGTGTGACGCTGGTGTGTCTTCCCAAATCACTTCAAGGCACTGAGAGGTCTTCTAAAGGCACAAACCCTTTATTCAGGTCTGAGGACTGGGCAGGAGCCCTGCAAGCACAGCCAGGAGTGGCCTGTGTGACAGCTCAAGGCACTCTAACCCTTGGACCCAACTCCAATAACATCCCAACGGCTGGCAGACTGGGAGGGGCCGGCAGCAGTCAGAGGGTGCGGAGGGGTAGGTAGGGGAGCCTCTCGCTGGCCCAGCAGGAGCCCACATTCCCATCCGCAGGCAGATGCGCCCAGCGGGCCTGCGAGGTCATCGTGGGCACACACTGTGGCAGGAGCCCGGCATGGGGGGTGCTCACGCTACACAGCATCTTGGCCCGCCGAGCCGCACATTTAAACGAGAGGAGAGAACAGGCAAGTGGAGGCTGGGTATAGGAAGGAAATGCTGACAGTAAAATAAACATAAGCAAAAACCCAATGCATCTAGCAACGAGAAGCCAAAATTAACTCTGAAGTGAAAGTCAGTGTTTATGCAGGAGAGCCATTTGGAGGAACGAGTCCTGTTGTACAGAAGCAGATGCTCTCATCTGCGTGGCCCTGCACTGAGTGGACTCCGCTCTGTCCCTGCGGCTGGTGGCACCTGCTGGGTGACTGGGGCCTTTTCATTAGTGAGACCCGGGGCCCCACCCCTGCGGGCCTCTCCCCACGAGGACGAGGGCGCCTGGGAGAGGCAGGTCGGCCCCTCCCCCAGACGCTCTGTGCTGGGCCACGTCAGTGGTAGAGGACGTGGCACAGGGCCGTGATGAGGAGCAAGAGGAGCCCGCTGACGTTGGCCACCTTGCTCCAGAACGGTGACTCCAGTGCCTCGCGGGGCTTAGTCCCTTCGGGCGAGTCGCTCTGCACTGTCTCTTCGGACGGGGCACTGGACTCCTCCTTCTTCTCCTCCGTCTCCTCTTCTGGGGCCACTTTGGCGCTCGGCTTCGCCTCCAGGCCACAGTATATGTCCAAGGCCTTCCAGAAGCAGTTCTTGGTCCCCGTTCTTTCCCCTGGAACAGAGGGCAAAGGTCAGGAGGTGCAGGCGCACACACTCCGTAGGGGGTCCCACCTCAGCCGTGAGTCCAGCAGGAAGACCAATGGCCTTGCTCTGAGGTGGAGAACAGTCCCCGGCCCCTGCTAAGGGCCCTACCACCACCCTCAGAGACGGGGAGAGTGGGATGAGGTTGAGGGGAGCAGGTGGGGGCATAGGGGGGCTGCCTGGGCCACGCCTGCCTTCTATGGGCAGAGCCTTCGGCTGGGCCCAGGGCCCCTGGACTGGGTGGCGGAGAGGTTTAGGGGCCTCTGCTGTCACAGAGCCGGCCGACCCAGGTCTGCTCGACACGCCCACTCCTCTGTCTCGGCCACGCAGCCAAACGCAGCTCTGCAGGCCGAGGGCAAGCGGCTGCCCCTCCACCCTCAGCAGCACTCTCCCCGCGGATGAGGACATCACTGATTCCTCACACAGACACTGCCCCCTTCACAGCGTTGCAGGACCGTCTCAGGGCCGAGTAAGGCTCTGCAGGCTGGAGGGGAGTCAGTGGTGTCCCCCAGGAGGCGGGGGGTGGGTCTAGGGGTTACAGGAGAGCTTCTCCAGGCCGACTCTGCGTAAACACCTAACTCTGGGGCTTAAACTTGGCCCCTGTCAGCACAGCGCGTGCTCCGTGCGGTCAGCACCATGGCCAGCGCCGGCGCGTCCCTCTGACCCAGCAGCGGCCTGGGGGCGGCTTTCTCCTGGTGACAAGCGCGGTTCAGTGGGAGCAGATGCCCAGCCATGTGCCCGGGACGCGCTCTGGGCCTGGGCAGCCTCCCAGCCAGCTGCTCCTGAGGCTGAGGTGGCACCAGGAATGTGGAGCCCATGGCCAGGGACGGAGGAGCCCGTTACCGGGGAGGGTGGCTGCAGACGGAGGACCCCAAGCCGGGGACACCGGTATCTGCTATCGGTGCTGAGAGGCCGGAGTGGCACACACTGGCCTGCTCTCTCAGAGGCGCATCATCACACCGCCCGCAGCTGCCAGGCCCAGGAGGCGGCCCAGGTGAAAGGCGGCGGATCGCTCGACAACAGCTCAGAGCAGCGTGACGGGAGGCGGGATGGGCCGGGGCCGAGGGCACACACTGGAGTCAGGCTGCCACCGCCCAGTTCTTTATGAACCCTGGGCAAGTCCTTGGCTGCTCAGTGCCTCATCTCCCATCTGTAAAGTAACAACTGTACTCCTCATGGAGGGGATGCTTCTGACAGCGCTGGCACGTCCCAAGTGGGTGGTCAATGTGAGCCACTGTCATCCTCACCGCCCATGGCAGTGGATGGGGAGAAGAGGCAGCGACAGGTGCCCCAGAAGGAGCACCGGGCACGCTGTGGGCGCGGTGAGCCAGTCCCCCGTTAGAGAAGGGAAATGCCCAGGGAGCCTGCATCCTCCGGGTGGTGGGCAGCCTTACCCACGGGGTCACTCCCCCCTCACTGGCCGGGCAGAAGTCCAAGGAGC